GTTTGCTGGACGACAAGATGATCGACTACTTTGACAGCGAGCATCAGGCAACAGTTCCCAGACAGGAGTGGATGAGAGAGCGTTTACCTGCTGATTACTGGGAAAGAGGCACACAGTCCCGCAAGAGCAAGCAGCAGTGGTTCAAGGTCAACATCGGCATCCTGATGGAGCGAATGAGGCAGAATGACTCAGCCAGTAAGTCTTTGCTGTTTTAATGATTTAATCACTCAGGTAAAATCCATGAAATCTGAATGATCAATAACGAAGCATGAAATGAACTAAACTGTCTGTAGAGGAATGTTTGAGCTTGAAGTTCCTCAACTCAGAAACAAATTGTTCCTGCTTACTGGTTTAAATTAAAAAGGTTTTAATGATTTGATTTATGTTCATATTTTCTCCTCTGATGTTTATTTAAACATTATTTATTTATTTCACCCTCCTGCTTCCAGACCTCCACGTTCTTCAGAGGATGGTGGGCTGTGAGGGTGAAACTCAGCCTGACGGCACGCTCAGGTTTGTCCGAGGCGTGCACATGTACAGCTACGATGGAGACGACTTCCTGTCCTTTGATGATAGAAGCGGAGTCTGGGTCGCTCCGACTCCCGAGGCACAACCCACCAAGAGGAAGTGGGACGGCGTCCAGGTGCTGAAAGAGTACACCAAGGGATACCTGGAGAACGAGTGCATCGATTGGCTGAGCAAGTTTGTGTATTATGGACAGAAGCAGCTCAAAAGGAAATGTATGTATGACATGAAAAAATTGTTTTTTTTAATTCATTATTAGTGGAGCCTGTAGAGTAGTTTTAGTTATAAAAGTTAGAAATTCATGAACCCTTTTTTAAATTTTTAGCTCAGTGTGTGACAACATTTCACATTAAAAAGTATCAATAATGTTGTTTTTTTAATTTCTGTCCAGTCTATTTTTTAACTGTTGCACCTCCTGAGGTGGAGGTGCAGCCACTGCTGGGCCTTCTTTACCAGGGTGTTGGTGTCGTGGGTCCAGGTGAGATCAGCATAGATGTGGGTGTCCAGAGGAGACCCAGGACAGGAGAGAGATTATATATCTTGGCTGACTTGGGAGCACCTTGGTGTTTTCCTTTTTTTTTTTGTCTGTCCCATTTGGTTCTTTAGCCGTCAGAATTGTTGTCTGAAGACCAACAAGGATGCCCAATGGATTTATTTTGCCAAATGGATCATCATGGCATTGCTATATTGGTCGTATTAGTTTTTCTGTGCAGAACAGAAACGATTGATGTTTGCTGATAGTGTGCAGCTCGTTTCCTCCACCGTCTCCACTCAGACACATCTGCATGTAGAACTGTGAAACTCTTCAACAACAGTCAGTCTGGATCACAGTAAGCTGTAGGATTACACTTCAGCATGTGATTCATTCACACTGCATGTTAATGAACATGCTGCTGAGGTCTGATGATGACATCAGAGCTGAGCTGCTTCACACATGCAGAACAAACCACTGAGTTCATCCATGATCACTGACAGTCTGTGTTACGTCTGTTTACAGGACGCAGACGTGGAGCCGACAACAACCAAGGTAACATCTTTATTTTTCTCTTATGAAGTTTGATGCTCAGAGACTCGAGTCAGTCTGAGCCGATCCTTTAACACCTTTAATCTGACAGTAACAGGACAGTAGCTGTCTGTCAGTTTGG